GTCCTTGCTCATAGTTCATAGTGCCCATGATGGTCCTTGTCCATGTCTTTATGTCCCTACTCATAGTCCATAGTGATCTGTTGTGTCTTTATGTCCCTACTGATAGTTCATAGTGGTCCATGATGGTCCTTACCCACATTCTTGTGTCTCTACTCATAGTCCATAGTGGCCTGGCTCCGTGTATGGCTGTAGTTGTGGTCAATGGTGGCTTAGAATGGTCCAGATCCGTGTCCTTATGTCCTTGCTCGTAGTCCATAATGGTCCATGATGGTCCTTATCCATGTCCTTATGTCCTTACTCATAGTCTGTAGTGCCCACGATGGTCCAGATCCATGTCTTTATGTCCCTACTCATGCTCCATAGTGATCATGATGGTCCTTATCCGTGTCTTTATGTCCCTATTCATAGTCCATAGTGCCCATGATGGTCTTTATCCATGTGTTTATGGCCCTACGTATACTCTATAGCGATCTGTGGTGGTCCTTATCCACGTCCTTATGTCCCTGCTCATAGTCCGTAGCGGTCCATCTCCACGTATGGCCCTAGTTGTGGTCAGTGGTGGCTTAGGATGGTCTAGATCCACGTCCTTATGTCCTTGCTCATAGTCCATAGTGCCCATGATGGTCCTTATCCATGTCCTTATGTCCCTACTCATAGTCTCTGGTGGCCCAGCTCCATGTAGTTGTGGTCTAGAGCGGTCCAGCTCCATGTCCCGTGTCCTTGGCGTGTCTTAGTTGCGGTTCATGGTGTTCTCGATCCATCCCACGTAGTTGCAGACGCGGGTGTAGACCCCGGGGCGCCCGGGCAGGGCACAGGTCTGCAGCCCCCAGGACACGATGCCCTGGAGGGTCCCATTGCAGGACAGGGGCCCCCCAGAGTCACCCTAGGGGGGAGGACATCCCATAGTTAGATGGGGAACACCCCAGATTTGGGGTCAGGGATGCTTCTGGGTGCCCCATTGGTGGAGAAGAAGGTCCTTGGGTTGAGAGGCACATGGGGATGGGGGCCACCATGGTAGTTTGGGGTGAAGAGGTTGAGCTGGGGGGGGTGAGGATTTGGGGTTGGGTGCTTTTGGGGTGTCCCCCCCAGGTACCTGGCAGGAGTCGATGCGCTGGTTGCGCACCCCTGCGCAAAGCATGTTGGGAGTCACGCGCTGAGGGTAGGCCCGGCGGCAGGCGGCGTCGGGCAGGATGTCCACGTAGGCGCAGATCAGGTGCCGGGGCAGGGTCACTGTGGGCATCGGGGGGGTCAAAGGGGGTGCTCTGGGGTCTACTATGAGGTTACTCATAGGTTACTCATAGTTCAACCCAAGGCCCGGTGTTGCTCCTAGGCCAGCGAGAGGTTACGGAGAGGTTACCGCTAGGTTGGCCATCACCTGCAGGCTACTTGTAGGGAGTGGTGATGGTTCCCCAGCCCTAAACAAGGCCGATGGTAGCGGGTGGGGGTTACTACAGGTCTACTACAGGGTCCCTGTGGGCCCCCATTGACTTCCCAGCTCACCCTGGGGGATGGTGACAGTTCCCCAGCCCAAGACCAGGCAGATGGCACTGGGGGGGGCTTACCGAAGGTCTGCTATAGGTTTACTATAGATTTACTACAGGTCTACTACAGGGTCCCTATGGGCCCCCATTGACTTCCTAGCTCACCCTGGGGGGTGGTGACAGTTCCCCAGCCCAAGACCAGGCAGGTGGTGCTGGGAGGGCCTTACTGCAGCCCTACTATGGGTTTACTATAGGTTTACTACAGGTTCCCTATGGGCCCCCATTGACTTCCCGGCTCAGCTCACCTTGTGGGGTGGTGATGGTTCCCCATCCCGAGACCAGGCAGGTGGTGCCAGGGGGGGCGCAGGAGCGGGGCAGGGCCAGGGGCCGCACGGTGCGGCCCAGCCCCACAGGTCGGTCCAGCTTGAGGAGCAGGAGGTCGTTGTCCAGGGTGGTGGGGTTGAAGGCTGGGTGCGGAATGGCCTTGGCCACCAGGCGGTTCTGCTCCGTCCCCTCCTGCTGCTGGAGGTTGTTCTCGCCCAGGCGTAGGCGGATACCTCTATGGGGCCATGGATATGGGATATGGGGGCATGGATGTGGGATGGGGCGCCATGGATGTGGGGTGTGGGACCATGGATGTGGGATGGGGCGCCATGGATGTGGGGTGTGGGACCATGGATGTGGGATGGGGCGCCATGGATGTGGGGTGTGGGACCATGGATGTGGGATGGGGGGGCATGGATGTGGGGCCATGGATATGGGATGTGGGGAGATGGGATACAGGGAGGAAGGTGGGAAATGTGGGGACATGGTCACAGTCCCATCTCCACCCCCTATGGTGTCCCCACAGGCAGGGTTGTCCCATCTCCTCATGCATATGTCCATGGGATGTGTCCCCATGCCATACCCCATATCCCATACCCTATAGCCCACATCCCATATCCCATACTCCATACCCCTTATCCCATACTCCATACCCCATATCCCATACTCCATAGCCCACATCCCATATCCCGTACTCCATACCCCCTATCCCTTACTCCATACCCCATAGCCCATATCCCCATATCCCCACCTGCTGTTGCAATGGGCAGCCGAGAGGACCCAGTTGTCCCTGAGGAGGATCCCACCACAGCGCACGGGGCTGTAGATGTAGACCTGCCATGGCTGGGAATGGGGGACACAGGGATACCCCCCGATGATCCTGTCCTCATCCTGCCCGCTGGCTCCTCCTGGGATATGGGACATGGAATATGGGACATGGGGTTTGGGATATGGGACATGGGATATGGGGTATGGCATATGGGATATGGGGTTTGGGATATGGGATATAGCATATGGGATATGGGGTATGGGATTTGGGATACGGGATTTGGGATATGGGGACACGTCTGTACCCATCAGCAGCAGGACCAGGCTCAGTGGCAGCAGCTCCATGGTCCTGGGGGGGACACACGGAAGGGTGAATGGGGTCCTGCCTGTGTCCATGTATCCCAGCAAACCCCCTTTATCCCACCTCCTTCCCCACTTCATCCCCCTTCATCCCCCTTCATCCCCCTTCATCCCCCTTCATCCCTCTCCATCCTCCTCCATCCCCCTTCATCCCCCTTCATCCCCCTTCACCCCATCTTCATCCTCCTCCATCCCCCCTTCATCCCCCTCCATCCCACCTCCTTCCTTCCCCATCCCTTCCTCCTTCCTCCTTACACCACTTCCCTCTTCCTCCTCCTTCCATCCTCATTCCTTCCTCCTCTTCCCTCTCTCCCCTTCCCCATATCCCACCCTTATCCTGCCCTTTATCCACCCCCATGGCCCCCCCATGTCACCCTCTATCCCTGGTGTGTCCTTGGCGTGTTCTTGCCGTGTCCGTGCCGTGTCCTGGCGTGTCCTGGCGTGTCCCAGCTTGTTGGGGATGGCTTTTGTGCCAACGGCTCCACCCGGGGGGGAGGAGCAAGGGATGGACCACGGGATGATGGGATGGGTTTTGGGGTGGACCATGGGATGGAGCTGGGATGAGGGGATGGACATCGGGATGATGGGGTGCACCATGAGATGCTGGGTTGGGTGTAGAGATGGGATGGACATCGGGATGGATGATGGGATGTCCAATGGGATGTTGGGATGGATGTTGAATATGGATGTTGGGATGGATGTTGGGTAGACACTGGGGTAGATGGGATGGATGTTTGGGTATGTGTTGGAATGGATGTTGGGTTGGGTGGGATGAATGGTGGCGTGGATGGAAGGGTTGGGATGGATGAGGTGGAGCTTGGGATGGACGAGATGGACATCGGATGGATGTTGGGATGGGTGTTAGGATAGGCGGGATGGTTGCCATGGATGGGGTGGATGTTGGCTTGGATCTTGGGATGGCTTGGACAGGATAGGTATTGGGATGGATGCTGGGATAGGGATGGATGTTGGGATAGACACGGAGGTGAATGCAATGGATGGGATGGAGGTTGCCATGGATGTCGCCATGGACGGAATGGACATTGGGAATTTGGGATGCTGGGATCGATGTCGGGATGAACACTGGGATATCGCGATAGAGTCTTGGTCCCCCCCCCCCAGCAGGCCAGTGCCTCCCATTCCAACCCAGCCTCGATCCCAGGAGCTTTGGGGAGGAGGTGGCGGGATCCGGGACGCGGGAATGCTCCCAAATCCCAACGCGGCTCCTCCCTGCCCCTCCGGCCCCATTGATGGCTCTAATTACCCACCAGCACTAATTACCCCCCTCCTAATGCCCCATAACGCTGCTGTGCCCCGTGACTCAGCCCCAGGGAGCCCATGGGATATGGGGCGGGAAAAGGGCTGGGAACGGGGGGGGAAGGTGGGAATTAGGTGGGAATTGCTCCCCCCTGCCCCTTGAACCAGTGATGAGCTGCTTTGGGATTAGTTTGGGTCAATTCTGGCCAATTTTGGGTCAACTTTGCTCAATTTGGGGTCATTTCTACCGATTTTAGGTCAATTGTGCTGAATTTTGGGTCATTGCGACCTAATTTTGGGTCAGTTTTGCCCAATTTTACATCATTTGTGTGATTTGGGGTCAATTTTGTCTGATTTGGGGGTTAGTTTTGCCCAATTTGGGTCATTCCTGTCCAGTTTGGGGTCATTTCTGTCTGATTTTGCCCAATTCTGCCCAACTTGGGTCTTTTCTGCCTGACTGGGGTCATTTCTACTTGATTTGGGGTCATTTGTGCCCAATTTTGGTCATTTCTGCCTGATTTAGGTCATTTCTGCCTGTTTTGGGGGCAGGAGATGCCTTAGAGATGCTGGGGGGGATTTATTGTGGTTCTATGGTGGGTTCCATGGCTCCATAGTGGGATGAGATGATCCTTGATGAGTTCTATGGTGGATTCCATAATAGGACGAGATGGTCTCTGTTGGGTCTATGGAGCCTTCCATAGTGGGATGACATGGTCTCTATTGGATCTATGGTGGCTTCCATGGCTCCATGGTGGGATCAGATGGTCCTTGATGGGTTCCGTGGTGGCTCCCATGCAGGAGGCGTGGGGCTCAGGCCTCCCCCATGCTCTCCAGGATCCAGGGCACGTAGTTGTACACCCGGGTGTAGACCCCCGGCCGCCCCGGCTGCCCGCAGGGGTGGTCCCCCCATGAGACAATGCCCTGGAGGACCCCATTGCAGATGAGGGGCCCCCCGGAGTCACCCTAGGACAGAGAAGGGGCCATGAGAGGAGCTTGGCTATGGGGCAGAGGGGGCCATGGGGGATTATGGGGGTACCTGGCAGGAGTCCTTGCCTCCGGCGTCGGCCCCGGCGCACACCATGTCCTGCGTCACCTGGGAGCCGTAGACAGAGCTGCACTCAGTGCCGTCAACCACGGAGACGTTGAGGCATTGGACGGTGTCTGGGAAGGTCTCTGGGGGCAGGAGGGGATGGGGGAAGCCTTGGAGATGCCACCTCCATCACCCATTGGCCATTGGGTCCTGTCTCCATGGAGATGCCACCACCCAACCCAGTGCACTTGAGGTCTCCAACCCCTTGTAGATGCCACCACCCATTGGCCAATGGAGGTTTCCAACCCCTTGTAGATGCCACCACCCAACCCAATGGGGGTTTCCAACCCCATGTAGATGCCACCACCCAACCCAATGGGGGTCTCCAACCCCTTGTAGATGCCACCACCCAATCCAATGGAGGTTTCCAATCTCATGTAGATGCCACCACCCAACCCAATGGCGGTCTCCAACCCCTTGTAGATGCCACCACCCAACCCAATGGGGGTCTCCAACCCCTTGTAGATGCCACCACCCAACCCAATGGGGGTCTCCAACCCCTTGTAGATGCCACCACCCAACCCAATGGGGGTCTCCAACCCCTTGCCCCTGCCCCCCAGTACCCTGGGGGCTGGTGGTGGTGCCCCAGCCCATGACGGTGCAGTTGGCGCCGGTGTCGGCGGGGGCGTGGGGCAGGGGCAGGGGCTGGATGGCGCTGGAGAGGTTGAGGGGGGGCTCCAGGCGCAGCAGCATCAGGTCATGGCCGCGGCTGCCGGAGCCGAAGCCGGGGTGGGCGATGGAGGCCACGGCCGCTGAGAACTGCTCCTGGCCCGAGGAGGCCGAGAGGCTGTGGGCACCAGCCAGGACCTGGATGTGGCTGCGGGGACAGGGGAGCCATTGCCCCCATTGACCTCCATTGATCCCCATTGCCCCCATTGATCCCCATTGACCCCCACTGATCCCATTGATGCCCATTGATTCCATTGATCCCCATTGATCCATATTGCCCCCCATTGTACCCCATAGCCCCCATTACCCCCATTGCCCCCGTAGCCATCATTACTCCCATTGCACCCATTGCCCCCCATTGCCCCCATTACCCACATTGCCCCCATTACCCCCATTGCCCCCATTCCCCCCATTGCCCCCATTACCCCCATTGCCCCCATTTCCCCATTGCCCTATTACCCCCATTGCCCCCATTACCCCCATTACCCCCATAGCCCCATAGCCCTGACCTGGCCTCACAATGCGCTGCGCTCAGCACCCACTGGGGTCCCAGCAGCGCCCCCCCACAGTAGGGGGAGCCAAAGTACAGCAGCAGCACGAGCCCCGCATGGCCCCCCATGGGGCATGGGGAGCCCCCCAGGATGCGGCCTCCCCATTGAGGAGCTATGGGGGGGGAATATGGATGAGGTCATTAAGGGGGGTAATGGGAGGAGGGGCACCCCATAGCCTGCTATGGGGCATCACATAACCAAACATGGCTCCCAAATCCCCCCATAGAGCACCCAAAGGTCCCTCATAACCCCCATATGGCACCCAAAGGCCCCCCCGTAACAGCCAATAGAGCACCCAAAGGCCCCCAAATCCCCCCATAGAGCACCCAAAGGACCCCCATAGCCCCCATATGGCACCCAAAGGAGCCCCATAGAGCACCCAAAGGACCCTCATAGCCCCCAAAGCCCCCCGCCATAACACCCAATAGAGCACCCAAAGGACCCCCATAACCGCCATAGAGCACCCAAAGGACCCCCATAGCCACCGTATGGCACCCAAAGGACCCCCATAGCCCACATATGGCACCCAAAGGACACCCATAAGCCCCATAGAGGACCCAAAGGACCCCCATAGAGCACCCAAAGCCACCCTTACCGGTTGCACCCATGGGGGGCAGCAGCAGCAGCAGCAGCAGTAGCAGGGGGGGGGCTCCAGGCGCAGCCATTGTGGGTCTGGGGGGGGTCGGGGCCCCATTGGGGCTCATTAAGGCTCCGGTTAATGATTAACGGGGTCGTTAATGAGACCTTGGCGGGGGGGCAGGTGAAGCGTTCCCACCCCTCCCCCACTTGTTCATATGGGGGCTGTGGGGCAATGGGGGGTAGTGGGGGCAATGGGAGTAATGGGGTTAGTGGGGTTGGCTGTAGGGTGTCAAAGGGGTTGCTATAGGGGGGTTATTGGGTAACAATGGGGTTGGTTATAGGGTGACAATGGGGTGGCCATGGGGTAATGATGGGGTGGCCATAGTGGGGGGATCATGGGGGACAGTTGCGAGGTGCCAATGGGGTCACTTATGGGGTGCCAATGGGCTCGATTATGAGCTGATAGAGGCTACCATAGGGGTCAGTTATGGGGTGAAGCAGGTCCCTGTGTCCAGCTATGGGGTGAAGAAGGTCCCCATGGTCCATCTATAGGTCACAGCAGGTCCCTGTGGCTCTCTATGGGGCGACGTGTGGGGCGGGTGCTGCCCCATTAAGGCCGGATTAAGGCCTCTCCCTGGGTGTGGGGCTGGGCGCCTATTATGGGATGGCTCATTAACGCTAATGAGGCTTTAGGGGCCTCAGCAAGGGCACACCAGCCCCTGCTGTGATTGGCTGCAGAGGGAGAAGCTCCGCCCCCCCACTGGGGCAGGACCAGGAGCCAATGGGGTGGCACCAAGTTGAGGTGGGCGGGACTTAGGAGAAGCTCGGCCAATGGGGTGGCTCCAGTTTGAGGTAGGAGGGACCTAAGAGGAGCTCAGCCAGTGAGATGCCAGTTTAGGGCTTGGATAGGGCTCAGCCAATGGCGTGTCCCCAGGTTGGCATGGGTGGGACTTAGGAGGAGTCCAGTCAATGGGGTGGCTCCAAGCTGAGGTGGGGGGGACTTAGGAGGAGCCCAGCCAATGGCGTGGAAGCACATCGGGTTGAGGAGATCTGAAGAAGAGCTCAGCCAATGGTGACATCTTCTCCTTGACCATTGGCTGACCCCTGTTGGGTTGACCAATGAATTGGTGACCCCTCTTCGACTGACCAATGAATGGATGACACCCGTTGGGCTGACCAATGAATGGATGACACCCATTGGGCTGACCAATGAATGGATGACCCCTGTTGGGCTGACCAATGAATTGGTGACCCCTCTTGGACTGACCAATGAATGGATGACACCCATTGGGTTGACCAATGAATGGGTGATCCCCGTTGGGTTGATCAATGAGTAGATGACCCCCGTTGGGCTGACCAATGAATGGATGACCCGCGTTGGGTTGACCAATGAATTGGTGACCCCTCTTGGACTGACCAACGAATGGATGACACCCATTGGGTTGACCAATGAATGGATGACCCCCGTTGGGTTGACCAATGAATGGGTGGCCGCTGTTGGGCTGACCAATGAATGGGTGGCCCCCGTTGGGTTGACCAATGCATGGGTGACTCCCGTTGGGCTGACCAATGTATGGGTGACCCCTGCTGGGTTGTCCAATGAATGGGTGACCCCCCATTGGGTTGACCCTCATTGGCTGGATGCCCCTTGTTGGGTTCTTCATTCCTATTGGGCATCTCCTAGGACATGGACCCTGTTTGTGTTGCCCAACCTCTCTATGGCTTGGAGCCCCTTTGGCCACCACGACGTCCTTGGTGCCACCACGACCCAGGGCAGATGATGGCTGGGAAGCTGGTGGTTACCCCATCACCGTGAGCTTGAAAGGACCAAAATGACCATCACAAAGGCTTTAATTTCTGCTCTCCTCCCGCCCCACGTCTCAGCAGCTTCACCCCACAGCTTCTGGTGGCCCCATGCTCCTTTCCGCCCCCCCCAAACAGTGGCGCTTGGAGCTCAGTTGTCCTTCATGGTCTGGTGGATCCATTGGGCATATCTACAGACCTTGGTGTAGACGCCGGGGCGCTTGGGCTGCCCGCACTTCTCCATGCCCCAAGACACGATCCCTTGGAGGCTCCTGTTGCAAACCAGGGGTCCTCCAGAGTCACCCTAGGGAGAAACATGGCGTCAGCCCCATGGGGTTGGCCTTCATTGGGTGAGCTCCTTGCGTCGGCCAAGTGGGGTTGGATTGGGTTGGTCAACTCCAACGTGGCAAGCGGCTGGGTCAACTGCCCCCATTGAGTTGGGCAACTCCTGTTGGGTTGTGAACTGCCATTGGCTTCTGCAAGTCCCCTTGGGGTGAGTGGCCATTGAGTTGCCCAACTCAACGGGAGGCTGCCATGAGCTTCACCTGAGGGTCAGACCTTGAAAACCAGCCCTAAGTTGACCACCACTGCCCAAGAGGATGCTGAGATAGACCTCAGGATGCCCATGGAGATGGACCTCAGGATGCCCATGGAGATGGACCTCAAGATGCCCATGGATCTGGACCTCAAGATGCCCATGGAGATGGAACTCAGGAGGCCATGGAGGTGCACCTCAGGAGGCCATGGAGATGGACCTCAATAGGACATCAAGGTGGACCTGAAGATGCCCATGGAGATGCACCTCAAGATGCCCATGGAGATGCACCTCAGGAGGCCATGGAGATGGACCGCAGGAGGCCATGGAGATGGACCTCAAGGTGCCCATGGAGATGGACCTCAGGATGCCCATGGAGATGGACCTCAAGATGCCCATGGAGATGGACCTCAGGAGGCCATGGCGCTGGTTCCTGCTGGTCCAAGGGGCTCTGCTCCGTACCTGACACGAGTCCCTCCCACCTTGGAGGCTGCCGGCACAGAGCATGTTGTCGGTGATGGAGCCAGGGTACAGGCGGTGGCATTCGGCCGTGGAGAAGATGGTGACGTTGACGCACTGCAAGACGTCCGGGTAAGTGACTGGGGTGGGACACAAAGGGACAAAGAACAGAGGGAGGGGAGGAGAAGAAAGAGACCAAAGGAGATGGACCCGGCCACCGGCAGCAGCTGTGCCCCAGAGCAGCCAAAGCCCACCCAAAGGTGGCACCCAGTGTGGTGGGATGGGGTCTGCGGGGGGCCCCATGTGGGGCTGGGGGGATGAAAAGGGGGACATGGGGAGGGGGGGTGAGGTGGGGGTGGTGGGAGCTTGGGTGGTAGTGAATGGGCTGGGGGGGGCATAAAGGGGTGCAGGTAGTCATGGGGGGACCCTGATGGTCATAAGGGACCCCATATGTCCCAGGTGACCAAAATGGGACCCAAATGGCCATGAGGGGACCCAAATGGCCATAAAGGCACCCAAATGGCCATGGGTGGACCCAGATCTCCATAAGGACACACGGATCCCCATGAAGGGGCCCATATCTCCATAAGAGGAGATGGAGCAAGGCACCAAGATGACTCTGATGTCCCCATCATAAGAACCCCCTAACCCTCCATAAGAACCCCCTAGACCTCCATAAGCACCCCCTAAACCTCCATAAGAACCCCCTGAACCTCCATAAAAACCCCCTTAACCTCCATAAGAACCCCCTAAACCTCCATAAGAACCCTCAAGACCCCCATCAGAGCCCCCGGAGCCACTCGGGTACCTTCAGGGGAAGTGGTGGCTCCCCATCCCGACGTGGTGCAGGTGGTCCCAGGCTGTGGCAGGCAGGAGGCCACGGAGATGGGCTTGATCCTGTCGGTGATGGTGACGGGCGTGAGGAGCTTCATCATCATGATGTCATTGTCCTTGGTGGTGGGGTCATAGCTGGGGTGGGCCACCATCTTCTGCACCATCTTCTGCACCTCCCCGCGCTCCCGGGTGTACAGGTTGTGTTTGCCCATGTGCACGCTAGTGATCCTATGGGGCATGGGGGGTGGTCACCGTGGGGTGGGTGGGACAGGGGGTGTGGGGGTCATGGACCATGTGTAGGACATGGTACGAATCATGTGTAGGGCACAGCATGGAGCATGTGTAGGACATGGTATGGATCATATGTAGGACATGGTATGGACCATGTGTAGGACATGGTATGGATCATATGTAGGACATGGTATGGACCATGTGTAGGACATGGTATGGATCATGTGTAGGACACGGCAAACCCTAACCCAATGTCTGACATAGCAGAACACATGGAAACCACAGCCTGAGTGACACCACGACACGCACCACACATGGACCACGAAGACCATGAAGACCACAACCCATGGGTCCATAACCTGCATGGGACCACGCCATGGGCCATGGAGACCACACTATGGGTGAGGAGCCACCCTGGGCACCCCGAGGACCTGGTCCTTACCCTGGCGTGGTGCAATGGGCCGCCGTCACCACCCACTCCTTGTCCACCAGGACCCCACCGCAGTAGAGCTTGTACATGTCCAAGATGGCCACTTGCCATGGTTGCGAATGGGGCTCGCAGTCCATGCCCCCGACCACACGTGTCTCCCCCTCCACCATCGATGTTGCTACATGGGAGGACACGCCAAGAACACGCATGTTAGAGCCACCTGCCAGCATGCCTGCCCCACGCTCCCACCCCACCGCCCTGCGGACTCACCCATGGACACCACCAAGACCAATGTTCTCAGCACCTTCATGGTGCCCCATAGCTTGGGGACCTCCATCGCTGCGGGTGCTGTGGGGCAGAGCTGTTAGATGTTCCCCCCACAGGGGTTTTGCATCAAGGAGAAGATGAGCTGGGCCATAAGGACCTCCATAGGTCCTTATGGGGAGGGGGTCTTAGGGGTGGCCTTCACCCCACCACCTCCACCCCTTTGGCCCCGTCATCACCATTGAGCTGTTGCAATGGGTGACCTCATGGGCCCATAGGAGCAAGCAGCAGAGTCATCCTTAATGAGGCCATGTAATTAAGGGTTCCACCACATCCTCCACCTTCCCCCTCCTTGTCTCCAGGCCATTGACCTCCCAGAACCTCGCTCTGCCCTTGGATGCCTCCCATGGGATGGAGCCGGTGGGGCTCTGGACATAGGGAACCTGGTGTGGCCCCATAGGTCCTCAAGGTGGTGGGGTTGGAGATAGCTTTGGATGGGGGGGAGTCATCTCCTCTATGGCCGTGGTTGAGGGTTGGGGTTGTCCATGGGTCTGAGTCAGTTGTTCCCATGGGGTGGAGGTACCCATGGATGTGGGTCACGGATCCTCGTGGACGTGGGGCATTGCTCCCCATGGACATGGGTCATGGATCCTCCTGACCACGGCTTGGAGGTACCCATGGCCATGGGTGCTGGTTCCTCACAGCCATGGATCATTGCTCCCCACGAAAGTTTGTGGGCCCCATAGAAGTGGGTCAAAGCTCCACGTGACTGTGGGTCACGGTTCCCATGGCCATGGGTCGGAGCCACCCATGGGTGTGGGTCACCACTCCCTGTGGCCATGCACTGTGGGCCCCACAGATAAAGGAAATGGGGCCCATGGGGCGCAGGTTCCTTGCTCCCCATGGGGATGGGCTGGGGGGTGCCCTATGGAGGGGTTGGAGGGGGATGGAGATCATGGATGGAGGAGAAAGGATGGAGATGGAGGAACATGGATGGAGAACAGGGAAAGATGGGGATGGAGATGGAGGAACATGGATGGAGAACAGGGAAGGATGGAGATGGGGATGGAGAACAGGAAAGGATGGAGATGGAGAAACATGGATGGAGAACAGGGAAGGATGGGGATGGAGATGAAGGAAGGATGGAGATGGGAATGGAGGAAACATGGAGAAGGAACTATGGACATAAGGATGGAGAAGACATGGAGAACAGGGAGGGATGGAGATAGGGATGAAGGAAACATGGAGGGGAAGGAAGGATGGAGAAGGAGAAAGGAGGAGACATGGAGAACAGGGAAAGGAGGAGATCAGGGATGGATCAACCAGGGCGAACAGGGAAAGGAGGAGATCAGGGATGGATCGACCATGGAGAACATTGAAAGGAGGAGATCAGGGATGGATCAACCACGGAGAACAGGGAAAGGAGGAGATCAGGGATGGATCAACCATGGAGAACAGGGAAAGGAGGAGATCAGGGATGGATCAACCATGGAGAACAGGGAAAGGAGGAGATCAGGGATGGATCGACCATGGAGAACATTGAAAGGAGGAGATCAGGGATGGATCAACCACGGAGAACAGGGAAAGGAGGAGATCAGGGATGGATCAACCAGGGAGAACAGGGAAAGGAGAAGATCAGGGATGGATCAACCTTGGAGAACAGGGAAAGGAGGAGACCAGGGATGGATCAACCACGGAGAACAGGGAAAGGAGATCAGGGATGGATCAACCATGGAGAACAGGGAAAGGAGGAGACCAGGGGTGCCTCCACATGCAGAAGGACACTTGCACAACAACCAGTGACAAGGACCCCCCCATCCTCAGTCCATGCAGAGCGGGAGAAGCCCAGGACCAAGCCAAGCCCCAAGCCCCATCCCTGCCGCACAACCTCCTCTCGATGGAGCCCCATTGCCCACCACCAGCATCCAACCTCTCCGTGGGTCCCCACTGCTCCCCAGCGGGGGCCGGGGGCCGTGCCCCTCGCCTTTGTCCTCCTCGGTGGCCAGCGAAGACCTCGGTGGTGGCCGCGGCATCTGCTGGGCTCCGTGGCCACCTTTGGGTGCCCGTCCCACCCCACGTGAGCACCCAATGGGTTTTATAAGGGCGTCGGGGCAAGGCCCACCCCGGGGCTGAGCTGGAGGCGTCCCACGGGCGCCCAGACGCTCCCTTAATCCCTTGGGAGCTTCTCCGGCACCGCCTGGACTTGCCTCACCTCGGAGGTGGTGGATGGAGGGGAGGAGATGGGGAGGGGTTGGGGTGCTGGGGGATGGATGTGGGAGATGGAGTTATGGAGGTGGGAGATGGAGTTACGGAGGTGGGATACGGATGTGGGAGATGGAGTTATGGAGGTGGGAGGTGGAGCTGTGGAGGTGGGATATGAAGATGGTGGGGTATGGAGATGATGGGATATGGAGTTATGGAGGTGGGATATGGAGTTATGGAGGTGGGATATGGAGTTACGGAGATAGGATATTGAGGTGGTGGGATACAGAGGGGAGATGGAGCTATGGAGGTGGGGTATGGAGTTATGGAGGTGGCATATGGAGATGGTGGGATATGGAGGTGGGATATGGGGTTATGGAGGTGGGATATGGAATTCTGGAGCTGGGATATGGAGTTTTGGAGGCGGGATATAGAGGTGGGATATGGAGATGGTGGGGTATGGAGATGGGTTATGGAGTTACAGAGGTGGGATATGGAGTTCTGGAGGTGGGATATGGAGTTCTAGAGACACAGGGACGGGTGATGGTGGGTTATGCAGGTGCTATTGGAGATACGCGCTTGAAGGTCAGCCCCATGGCCCCCAGCCCCACATCCCTACGGCCACGAGCTGTCCCGCATGGCCACCACCTCCCGTGGTCCCCCCCGCTCCTCCCCACGACCTCCATGCCCGTGGTGGAGCCACGTTTCCCAGGGCTTTATTCCATGCCGAAGGTGCCATAAGGGGGTGGGAGGAGGGAGAAGACGACACCGGATGGGTCCGGGCTGGGAGGAGGAGGAGACGTTTTCCTCCCGCCAGGGGCTCACGCGTGGCTGTTCCTCCTCATGGTGTCCTGGATCCAGGAGGTGAACTCGCACACGCGGGTGTAGACCCCGGGCTTGCCCTGTTGTCCGCAGACCTGCATCCCCCAGGACACGATGCCCTGGAGCTCGTCCCGGCACACGAGGGGACCTCCTGAGTCACCCTATGGGAGACAAGGAGCTTATGCGGTGGCTCCATGGTGGGGGCCTCCAATAGACCCCAACAGCACACAGGGAGGGTTTAAGTGCCATGGTTCTCCATTGGGGATCACCATGGCCCATGGGGTCAGGCCATGGAAACCACCATGTCCTGTGGGTTCCCATAGCAGCCAGGATGCTCCTATAGAGCTTGGGGGTCTCCATGGCACCCATGGAACCTGGATGGTCCTTGTAGCACCCAGTGGTCCCCATAGCAGCCATAGAACCCAGATGACCCCTATAGCACCCAGTGGTCCCCATCGTGCTTCTCTTGCCCCTCGGCACCAAGAGACCTCTCAGTGCTGTTCCTAGCCCCCCTTTCTTCTCCATGGAGGTTCTCCACCCCAAAGACACCCCATAGGTGTGGGACAGGAGCCATGAAGCCCCCCTAGACCCACCTGGCAGGAGTCAGTGCCACCTGTGCTGACACCAGCACACAGCATGTTCTTGGTGATGCCCTTGGGGTAGAGCCTGCTGCACTCCTCGTTGGCCATGGTGTAGACCACACCACACTGGAGGACATCAGGGAAGTAACCTGGGGACAATGGGGCTTGGTTGTAGGTCCTGTGGGACCAGTGCGTCCAATGGAGTCTTCTCCATCTGAAGGTAGCACCATGCTATGGGAGATGCCCTCAAGGTGAAGGGGGGATGGAGAGCTCCAAAGGCACCCAGTGAACCTCTGAAGGAGCCAGGTCACCACGTGAGATACCTCCAAGCCATTGAGATACCTCCAAGCCACTGAGATGGCCCCGAGACACTGAAATACCTCCAAGCCATCAAGATGGCTCCAAGATATTGATACGTCCAAAACACTGAGATACCTCCAAGCCATTGAGATGGCCCCGAGACACTGAGATACCTCCAAGCCATCAAGATGGCTCCAAGATATTGATACCTCCAAGACATTGAGATACCTCTAAGCCATTGAGATGGCCCCAAGATATCGAGATACCTCCAAACGATTGAGATACCTCTAAGCCATTGAGATAAATCCAAGCCACTGAGATATCTCCAAGCCACTGAGATGGCCTCAAGCCATTGAGATACCGCCAAGTCATTGAGATACCTCCAAGCCATTAAGATACCTCCAGGCCATTGAGATACCTCCAGGCCATTGAGATACCTCCAAGACATAGAGATACCCCCAAGCCGTCGAGACACCCAAAAGCCATTGAGATCCTTCCAAGCCCCTTGCCACCGCTGTCCATGGTGCTACGGGCACCATCCCCACCTACCTTCGGGGCTGCTGGTGCTGCCCCAGCCCGACACCACGCACTCGGTGTTGGGGGGCGGACACCTCTTGGGCAAAGCCACAGGGTGGACGTGCTCTGTGAATCGGGCGGGCTTCTGGAGCCTCAGCAGCATGATGTCACTGTCATGGCTGGTGGGGTTGTAGTTGGGGTGGATGAAGGCCTTGGCTGAGGAGATGCATTGCTCCGTCCCTTCCTTGGTCTTCAAGCTGTGGTCACCCATGCGGATGGGAATGGAGCTGCGGGATGGACAAAGGACCATGGAGGAGCTCCTCATAGGACCCAAAGCTTCTCCTCCTCCCTAGCTTCAAGGGAGGCCAAAGCCACCCAATAGGTCAACCCAATAGGAGACCTCTGCGGTGCTCAAGAACGTGAGGACCTGGAGGTCCAAGTGGCCACCAAAAGGCTCAACTGGGGGGGTTCTTCCCTGTTTCTCCATGGTGGATCCTCCTTGTCCATCAAAGGAAGGTCCATGGTGAGGAGATGGAGTCCTCCCACCAACCCCATTGACCAATGGGGTCTTCCTACCCAACCCCATTGACCAATGGGGCCCTCCCCCAACCCCCTTGACCTGTGGCGTCCTCCCACCAGCCCCATTGACCAGTCAGGCCCTCCCACCCATACCCATTGATCAATAGGGACCTCCCACCAACCCCATTGACCAATGGGGCCCTCCAACCCAACCCCATTGACCAGTAGGGACCTCCCACCAACCCCATTGGCCTGTGGAGCCCTCCCACCTAACCCCATTGACCCATGGGGACCTCCCACCTCTTAGTGTCGCAATGGGCGGCCGTCAGCACCCAGGATCTTCCAATGAGGACCCCACCGCAGTGGATGTTCTTCTGGGGGCCCAAGAGAACAACCTGGTATGGGTGACGCCTCTTCTGGCACTTCTGGCCACCCACGATCCGGGTCTCATCCCCCGCGGCCACTGCAGGACATGGGGAGACACCAGGGACTCCCAGTGTCTCCCACTTACCTCCCAGTGTCTCTCAGTTGCTTCCTAGTATCTCCCAGTGCCTCCCAGTTGCCACCTCCAAGTCCTCCTGGGACACCCCATGCCACCCAGCTCTTTCCTTCCCACCCAGTGCCTCCCAGTGCCCTCCCAGTGCTCCCAGTGACTGATCGCTTCCCACCCGGCACCCTCCCAGTGCCCTCCCAGTGACTTGGCACTTCCCACCCACTGCCTCCCATTGTCTCCCAGTGCCTCCCAATTCTTTCCCAATCCTGGCGCATTTCCCCTTTGTGGCCCCCAGTAGCCTCCCAGTGCCTCCCAGTACCTCCTTGCATCACTCCATTTCCTCCTTAGAGCCTCCAGTTCCCTTCCACTGCCCCCAGTTCCCCCTCCAGTTCCCTCTCCGTCCATCCCAGGGCTCCCCAGTCCCTTCCCTTTCCCTCTTACCCACACCAGGGCCCTCCCACTGCTTCTCAGTGTCCCCAGTTCACCTCCAGCTCCTTCCCACTATGGTCCAGTGCCTCCCAGTGGCCTCCCAGTACATCCCAGTGCCCCTCCCGCAGTCTCTTCCCAGTTCATCCCAGTCCATCCCAGTGCTCCCCAGTGCCCCCCATTGTCTCCCAGTCTCTCTCAGTCCATCCCAGTCCCCCCCAGTTCACCTTCAGTGCCCCTAGTCCCTTCCCAGTTCATCTCAGTGCCTCCCAGCTCATCCCAGTGCCCCCCCAGTTCCCTCCCAGTTCCTCTCAATCCCCCCCAGTGTCCCTCCCACTGCCTCCCAGTCCATCCCAGTTCATCCCAGTGCCCTTACCTGTGGCCAGGAGCAGCACGGGCAGGAATCTCTGCATGGTGATGGGAGGAAGAGGCGGAAGCAGAGCAGGAAGCAGAGGAGGAAGAGGAGGAGGAAGCGGCACCTGGTGGGGACCCGGCTCCAGCCCCTTTAAATCCAGCCGGGCCCCGCCTGGGCTGGTCGGGGCAGTCCAACCAGGGCGGCCAGCTGGGGCGGCCCTGGGCCAATCAGATCCCGCCTGGGGGGCCCCGGGCCAATCAGAGACAGGCAGGGTGGCCCTGCACCAATCAGGGCTGTCTGGGGTGGGCACAGGCTAATCAGAGTAGTCTAAGCCAATCAGAACCCACCCGGGTGGCTCCAGGCCAATCAGAGCTGGGAAGAGTGGGTCACAGGTGTACTGGTGCCCCCTGGGGTGGGAACGGGCCAATCAGAGCCGGGCAGAGTAGGTGCTGGCCAATCAGAGCCAGACTGGGCAATTAGAGCCCACCAGGGTGGGTATGGGCCAATCAGAGCCAGCTGGGGCAGGTGTGGGCCAATCAGAGGCTGTTGGGGTGGCTGCAGGCCAATCAGAGCCAGCTGGGGCAGGTAAGGACCAATCAGAGGCTTTTGGGGTAGGCACGGGCCAATCAGTGACTCCCAGTGCTTATCAGTGCCTCCCAGTTCACCCCAGTGTCTCCCAGTGCCTTTCCCATCCTTCCCAGTGCCTCCCAGTTCACTCCAGTGCCTTTCCCATCCTTCCCAGTGCCTCCTAGGTTCATCTCAGTTCATCCCAGTGCTTCCCAGTGTCCTTCCTGTCATTCCCAGTGCCTCCGAGCTTATCCCAGTGCCTCTGAGCTCATCCCAGTGCCTCCCAGTTCACCCCAGTGCCCTCCGCTGTCACCTCCCACCTTGAGCCCCTGCCAGCTCCTGCTGGGAACTGGGGTGACCGGTTTTGGCACTTCAAGTTGGCTCCTGGGCTACCCAATGGGGTGTCTCCATTTCCCCCAGTGCTCCCAGTTCCCATTGCCCCCCATTGCTCCCAGTGTTCCCAGTTCCCATTGCCCCCCATTGCTCCCAGTGTTCCCAGTTCCCATTGCCCCCCATTGCTCCCAGTGTTCCCAGTTCCCATTGCCCCCCATTGCTCCCAGTGTTCCCAGTTCCCATTGCCCCCCATTGCTTCCAGTGTTCCCAGTTCCCATTGCCCCCCATTGCTTCCAGTGCTCCCAGTTCCCATTTTCCCCCATTGCTCCCAGTGTTCCCAGTTCCCATTGCCCCCTATGGCTCCCAGTTGCCCCATTAACTCCATGACTCCACTTCCACTCTTCTCCTTTATTGCCCCCCCAGTTTCCACCAAGGACTTGATGGGACCCATCGGGGTGCCCCACGGAGCTCTCAGGCCTCCAGTGCTCCCAGTTCCCCAGTAAGAAGGGAGCTGCTGGGACCCCACTGAGGTGCCCCATGGAGGCCTCAGGACCTCCCAATGACCCTCCTGATCCAAGGTGTGGCCCTGCAGACGTTGGCGTAGACCCCGGGTTGTCCTCGGCGCCCACAGACAGCCATGCCCCAGGAGACGACCCCTTGGAGGACCCCATTGCACACCAAGGGGCCTCCAGAGTCACCCTGTGGGGAGAGGAACCTCAGGTGGGGCTCGTATGGACCTTAGGAAAGGGCTTGGATGGGGCTGGGTTTGATGGGATGGAGACAGCGGTGAAAGAATGCCCATGGACATCTTGGGTGTTGGGGTGAAGGCTTAGTTGGGGGGGTCAAGAAGGAGGCTGGTGGTGGGGATGCAAAGCTCAGATGGACCCAGCGTGGTCCACGACCCATCCCCACCTCCGTGGCTTGAGCAGAAGGTCATTGGTGGAACCCAGCCCTTGTATGGACCCAGCGTGCTCCAGGACCCATCCCCATCTCCATGGCTTGAGCAGAAGGTCATTGGTGGAACCCAAACCTCACATGAACCCACCGCTTGATCCATGGCTTGAAGGAACCCAACCAGAGCCCATCTCCCCTTGGGTTTGGAGCTCAAAAGAAGGTGCTTGATGGGACCTCACCTGGCAGGAGTCAACCCCTCCTTGGGGGACACCAGCACAGAACATGTTGGGGGTGATGGCGTTGCCATAGGCCCTGGTGCACTTGTCCCTCCCAAAGGCTTGGATGGCTGCACACTGCAGGTTCTGAGGAAGCTTCGCTGGAGAACAAGGTGGGGATGGACAAGGAGAAGCTTGAGAAGGTCCAAACCCACCCACAATGAAGCCTGAGAAGACCTTGTCCCACTTTGGATGAGCTCCTTTGGCTGGTGGATGATGGAGACGGGTTGGGATGGTGGAGATTGGTTGGGATGGTGAAGATAGGTTGAGATGGTGGAGATGGGCTGGGATGGTGGAGATGGGCTGGGATGGTGGAGATGGGTTGGGATGGTGGAGATGGGTTGGGATGGTGGAGATGGGTTGGGATGATGGAGATGGGCTGGGATGGTGGAGATGGGTTGGGATGGTGGAGATGGGCTGGGATGGTGGAGATGGGTTGGGATGATGGAGATGGGTTGGGATGGTGGAGATGGGTTGGGATGGTGGAGATGGGTTGGGATGGTGGAGATGGGCTGGGATGGTGGAGATGGGTTGGGATGGTGGAGATGGGTTGGGATGATGGAGATGGGTTGGGATGGTGGAGATGGGCTGGGATGGTGGAGACAGGTTGGGATGATGGAGATGGGTTGGGATGATGGAGATGGGTTGGGATGGTGGAGATGGGTTGGGATGGTGGAGATGGGCTGGGATGATGGAGATGGGTTGGGATGATGGAGATGGGTTGGGATGGTGGAGGTTGGTTGGGATGGTGGAGGTTGGTTGGGATGGTGTTGGTGACCACCAAAGGAGCCCACACCCCAAAGAAGAACCCAAGTAGACTATGTTCTCCATGCGGACTTGCTCTCCTTGGAGATGCCTCTTCCACCCCATCTCAAGCTCTTCCCTTGAGCTCTCCTGCCCCAACCAGTTACCTCCTGGAGACTTGGTGGTCCCCCAGCCGGAGACACTGCACCTCATCCCGTCCATAGGGCACCTGGTGGCCAGCCTGATCTTTTTGATGCTGCTGCTGAAGTGGACGGGCCGGTTGAGCCTCAGGAGCATGAAGTCGTTGTCATTCCTCCGTGGGTTGTAGGACGGGTGGACCAGAAGCCGTGAGATGGACCTGACTTGTCCTGTGCCCTCCCTCAAGGTGTCTGTCCCTATGAGCACCTTGAGGTCCCTGCATGGGGAAGATCAAGGACTCAGTGGTGGCACCTCCAAAGGAGATATCTCAAGGCCTTGGAGCTTTCTCCATGCTCAGGGTGAAGGTGGAACCATCCTATCCCATTTCCCTTGAGGGAAAGAGCAGGAATGACTTGAGGATCCATGATGGATCCTGGAGGATCTCTTCAAGTCCTTGGCTTCAACTTCCTCCATGGACAACATCTCAACTCCGTTGTCCCTCAACCCAGCATCTTCTTAGGAGAAACCCTTCCAGAGGTCCCATTTCCTCTCATGGGATCTTATGGAGAAGCTGGAGATCCGTGGCTATGGGGGGGCACCTACTCTTAAGCAAAAGGTCATTGGTGGAACCCAACCCTTGTATGGACCCATCATGTCCCATGATGCATCTCCATGCAGCTCCGTAACTCAAGTAGAAGCTCATTGGTGGAACCCAAACCTCAAGGGACCCCATAACTCAAAGTGAGGTCATGGACACAGAAGCTTCCCACTATCTTCTAGAAGGACCAACATCTGGGCACCAACCAACCCCACCTCTCCCCATTGGCTGGTTGGGAAGCAAGGGGTGCGTGGGTCTTACCTGGGTGGCTGCTTGCAGTGGGCAGCTGTGAGGACCCATTGGGCATCTACCAAGCTTCCTCCACATAGGATCTGCCCTCTCTTGATGAGGGCCACTTGGAAGGGTCTCTGGTTGATGGAGCAAGGCCTCCCCCCAATGATACGGGACTCGTCCTCCTCCGGCACTGGAAGACACCAAAGGGGCACCATGAGATGTCACCAACAGCGGGGTCCTCCACAGCAGCCTGGCGGGGTGAGGTTGACAACAAGAAGGCTTCAGGAAGAGAAGAGGGGAAGGTCTCCATGGCTGGAGACTGCAAGTGCCAGAAGGAGATGCCAAAAGCATCTTCAAGCCCGCAAAGATGGGTGGGTTTAGGGTTTCATGGGTCAAGATGGTGGCCAAGATGATGGGTCAAGGTGAAGAGTCACCAATCACCCTCCTCAGGTCCCACCTCTGTGAGTTCCTGGATGGAAACCAGATGGTTTTGGGGTAAAAAGAGAGGATTTAGGGAAAAAAAAAAGGTATTATTTGGGGAGGAAAGAGATTATTTGGAGGAAAAGGAGGATTTTGGGGAGAAAGTATTTGGGAGCAAAAATGACAGTTTTTGGGGGAAAAGGGGATTTTTTTTTAAAAAAGAGATGATTTTGAGGCAAGAAGGATGGTTTTGGGGAAAAAGATGATTGAGGAAAAGGGATTATTTGGGTTATAAAGATTATTTTAGAGAAAAAAATTGATTATTTAGGGTAAAAATAGATCATTTTGGGTAAAAAGATGATTTTAGGGAAAAAAAAAAGATTTGGGGTAAAAAGAGATGGTTTGGGGTAAACCCGAGCTGATTTTGGGGTAAAAAATAGCAGATTTGAGCCCCGCATGTGATTCCAAGTGCTCGAAGCAACCCCTGAAGGTCCATGGGCTCCATAAGCGGGCAGGGGATGGAGGAGGGACCTCCCTTTAGTAGATCCTTGGGGCCGGTTCCTCACGTCCATGCGGTGTCCTGGGGGTCACCAAGCACCAGGAAGTCCCCAGGAGCCCCTGATCTCCTCTGGGTTCACCCTGGGCTCCAGGGAGGGGCCTCAGGTTCCACCTCGGAGGTTCCTCCCAGGTCAAGGTTGGAGGTGACGCACGTCCAAAGAGCTGGTGGAAAGCCTGCAGGACCAGCTCCCAACGCTCCCGACCTCTGGGATGGCTCATTCCATGCCCATCTTGGACCGAGGTAAGAGCTGGTTGCATCAACCCAAGCAGGAGAGGCCCTGACGCAGCGGGAAGCGATAAGAGGAATGTGAGGAATGTGGCTCAGGTCCATCAGGTTGGTTGACAAGAAGCAGCCAAGGGCCATCAGTGTCGTTTGGGAGGTCTTTGGGTCTTCCATCAGGTGAAGGTCTAGCATGGATCTCCCCATCTTGCCTTGGTTTGAAGAGCTGTCCAACACTGGAGAAAATGGTGCTGAGAAGCTAATCCCAGCCCATCCAACATCTACAAGATGAGGTCCTCTTCCACCTTGCTGGGGTATTGATGATGAATGCTTATGGGGTGACCATCCTGAAGGTAGGACCACCTTAATACCATGACCATCTTGAGCCATGACCACATTGAGACCATGACCACCTTGAGCCCATCACCACATTGAGGCCATGACCACACTGAGACCATGACCACCTTGAGACCATGACCACATTGGGACCATGATCACCTTGAGCCCATCACCACCTTGAGCCCATCACCACCTTAAAGTCACGACCATCAGTACCCAAAAATGAGGCTTTTCCAATAGAAGAACCCCCTTCCCACCCCAAACCATGCAGTAGAACCTCCAGATGGGTTCTCCAACACCCATTCTACAATGTGGGACATTCCAGCTGGTTCAGGCCTCTTTTGAGGACTTCCAAGCATTGTCCTTCATTGGAGAAGGTGGCATCTGGAATGGTCCAGCCTTCCCAGAGGAGGTTGGGACATTGGAATCTACGAGTGGGACTGGTTTGTACTGGGTGGCAGTGGGAGACGCCCCAGCTTCCAGCCGCTTGGAATTCACCACTATCCGGTCCTGGCAGCGCTGCCAAAGTCCATCCCTGCTCATCCCAAGGACCATCCTGGTAGGTTTAGATCCCACCAAGCTCCTTGAAGGCATCTCAGCAGCTTCCCTGGGCTTCACAGGAGAGAGGAACCAGCTCAAAGGTCCATCAATGGAGGTGGAAGTAAAGGAGACGGATGGTGGGATCCATCCCCTTGGATTCCCAGAGGCAACCAGAGCTCCAAGCAACACGATGGTGTCTCCATCCCAAGTGGTCCACCAAGACTCATCCAGCCAATGGCTGGTCACCAGCTCCAAAAGACCCACAAGCAGCTTTGTGGACACTGATATGGGTGAAGAAACACCAAGATTGGGGCAGATCCAAGCTCTTTGCATCCTGGATTCCACCCTGTTGAGACACATCCGTTGGGCTTCTCCTTTGGTAGAACATCATTGTGGAGGCCAGAAGAAAGGAAGATATTCCCATTGGGATGAAGCCTCATCCAGGTGACTCCCTGTGGACCATGGAGCTGGAACAAAATTCCCTATAGGGAGTTATCCCAATGGGATGCAGGACTTCTCCTCCTCCACATGCAATGAGGTGGCTTTAGTTCCAAAGCAACTTCCTAACCCCATCAGGCCTTGCCCAAACCTTCCCACCATGAAGATTCCCATGGGATTATCCCATTCCCATCCCACTCACACTTGTCCCCATCCTCCCTCCTTGGCCACCCATTGGACTTACGCTCATCGCCTTGGTTGCCCTTCACTTGAGCTTGCGCCGGTTGGGGGGTCCTCAACAGAAGAGCAGTGGCGAGGATGAAGATGGGGATGAAGCTGAAGGCCCCATGTCCACCACGAGCCATTCCTGGGGCAGAGAAACCCCACTGGATCAACCCATAGGAGCACTTGGTCCCAAGGTCCTTAGTGATGTTCTTCTACCTCCAGCATGGGTTGGAGGCACTGTGACCAAGGGGTTTGGAGCATCTTCACCCTTATGGACCTTGGGGGTGGGCTTGGACCTGCACCTCCACCTTGGTTCAGTTGAGTTCAGCACCAAAGCCACCACCCTGAGCTCAAGAAGAAGCATCTCCCAATCCAAATGGGACATCCAACATCAGCTGGGACATCCAACATCAACTGGGACATCCAACATCAACTGGGACATCCAATATCAACCAGTCAACTCCAAAGTGTTCCCACTGAACCCATCCAACCCCAGCCCATGACATGGAGCCACCAAGAGCTGGAGAAACCCCCTTGGACCATCCAGGACCATCCATGGAGATGGGACTCACCTGATGGAGGAGGTCGGAGCCAGTTCTCTGTGTGTTGGGAAGTTGGGAGCTGGTGCCTTGGGCACCTTTATAGTGGAGGTGGAAAGTGGGATGTGGCCTTGGTGGGGTGAGTCAAAGGGTGGTTGGACAACGTGGGTGTCACCTCCCTGGTCCTGGAGGCTGATTATGGCTTTGATGTTCCCAAAGGGAACAGCGGGAGAAGAGGGAACCACCCTGCTCCAGACAGGTGATTCCGTCTGGGAGTCATGGAGATCCATCATCTTATCCATCCATCCATCCATCCATCCATCCATCCATCCATCCATCATCCATCCATCCATCCATCCATCCATCCATCCATCCATCCATCCATCCTTCTCCTCTATCCCTATGTCCATCCCCATATTCATCCCTATGTCCCAACCCTGCTCATCCTCAGTGGTGGTAGGACCACAGCATCAACGTGGTGCTTTGAAGGCTTCTTCAATGGTCCCTTTAGTGGGGTTGGGAGCAGCTCGAGGCTCAGTGAAAAGCCTGAGGAGCAGCCAAGGGTGGAGAAGACCGTGGATGGGATGAATCATGCCTGGAAGATGCTGATCCCGCTCTCTGCTGCTGCCAGGAGGAACCTGGATCTTGGCTTTGGTCCCACCACATCCATGGAGCTCCTCAGCAAAGAGCTTGTGGCCTCCTGGCCAATGGAGATCGCATCCCATGGAGGTTCTGGGCTCGTAGTGAGCTTCTCCCATGGAGATCTGCTCCCCAAAGAGCTCATCCATTGAGATGGTGTCCACCGGGGCCTCAGGCCATGGTGTCTGCTCCAGGAAGAAGCCATTCCTGGAGGTCTCATCCATGAAGAACCTGTCCATGGAGGGCTGGTCCACGGAGATCCCATCCATGGAGATCCCATCCATGGAGGTCCCATGAAGGGACATGGAGGGGCCATAAGGGGCCATAGGAAGCCATGAGGGGACCCTGTGGGCCATGAGGGGGACCTGGGGGGACACTGGGGTGATATGGAGGACATAGGGGGAAATGGGGCACATGGGGATATGAGGGGAGATGGGGGGCCATGAGAGGCCATGGTGGGACATGGTAGAACATTGGGGGGGCATAAGAAGACATTGGGGGCCATGAGGGACATGGTAGGACTTGGGGGGACATAGGACACACGGGGGTCCACAAGGGGCCATGGGAGGGACATGGCCCCACCTCGGGGGGTGCAGAACACACAGCAGGAGCCCTGAAGCAGGAACCTGGTGGGGCCCCACAGAGCCATGGCCCCACCTCTGCCAAGCTCCCAGCGCCCGAGGCAGGGGCAGGCCCCAAACCAGTTCTCCCAGTTCCCTCCGAGGTGGTGGCACTGGGGCCGATGACTTCACCCCCCCTGCGGGGCCAAGACAGAACCAAGCCTGGACCTGCCACCCACTGCCAAGGCCACCCAGGACCTCCTGGTCCACCCTCATCCCACCACCTCCAGCTCATAGGGGCAGGGCTCTTCCTCCTCCTTGTCCTCCAACCCCTCCCTGATGGCCTCATGGGTGACACACAAGGGGTGGCCCCAAGGCTGGCTCCATGGGTGGCAATGGCCTGGGTGACACAAAGAGGTGGCCCTGGGTGACACATTGGGGTTGGTGGCGCCGTGGGTGGCAGCGGCCTGGGTGACACCGGGGACATGGGAGCTGGTGTGGCTCAACCTGGTAGGGGTTTGGCTTTGGGGACCATCCCATCACCATTGGGTGGGTCCAGCACCCACCGTGGTGTCCGTATGGACATGGAGACCTCCTTGGGTGCTGGTTGGTGGCTTCATGGGCAGCAGGACCAGGATCTGTAGTGGTCACTTTGACGTGGATGGGTCAAGCTCGGCTCCATGGATGTGGTGACCAAGTGGAACCCAAGGACTTGGTTGTGGCTTCTACACCTCCATGGACATCTTGACCAGACCTTCATGGGCACAGTGACCAGCTCTTCATGGACACCAGAGCTCCATGGACACAGTGACCAGACCTCTATGGACACATTGACTCCATGGGCACATTGACCAGACCTCTATGGACACATTTACTCCATGGGCACATTGACCAGAGCTCCATGGACACATTGGACACATGGACACAACCTCAGCTCCATGGACATGGTGACCAAGTGGACCTCAAAGACCTGGATGTGCCTTCTACAGCTCCATGGACACGATGAGAACCCCATGGATACATTGACCAGAGTTCCATGGACACATTGACCTCATGGACACATTGACCATCAGTGTCCTAGAGACACCTTCTCCAACCCATCCCAACACCAAGATGGGACCACGAGGACCCCATGGATGGGCAACCCCCCCATCAATGCTCTGGGCCTTGTTGCTGTTGTTGGAGGACACCAAGGTGGGTTTGGTCCCGTCCATGGTGGTGCAAAGAGCTCTGGGTGACCCCAAAGTGGACAATAGATGTGCCTCATGGTGGGGTCAACAGGTCCAATGTAGTGGGGTCAACAGGTCTACCCCATGGTGGAGCCAGGTCCCCATGGAAGGGCCAACAGGTCAACCCCAGCTCTGTGTACCCCATGGTGTCAATGGGTCAGCCCCATTAGGGCCAACAGGTCTACCCCAAAGACTGCGCTCGATCTTCTGCCCCTATGAACCTCGGGACACGTGGGGCCACCTCTTGCCCTTCTCCAGCAGTAGAAGACGTGGTGCAAAGCCACGTCCAACAGCTCTTTATTCATCCAGCAACATCTCCACAGGGTCCTTGTGGTCGAGCCCTGCCTGCTCCTCACCCAGCGCTCGGACCGGCCGGCTCTGGGGACCTTCCTCATGGAAGAGGACCAGGAAGAGAAGCTCTGGGGTGGCTCCATCCCATGGCCAGGGTGGGGCTGGGCTGGGAGCTCTCACTTCCTTCTCATGGTCTCCTGAAGCCACCGCGTGTACTTGCAGAGGTTGACGTAGACTCCGGGTTTCTTGGGGTCTCCGCATACACCAGGACCCCAAGAGACGATCCCTTGGAGGCGTCCATCGCACATGAGAGGTCCCCCGGAGTCACCCTGAGGGGGTAGGAGATGGGTGCCATGGAGGACAATGGGACTCATGGCAAAGCTCCCCCCCCCACCCCCCCAGACCATGGCCCACCTGGCATCTCCAGCCCCAAATGCCACCCAATGGCAGCTGCTCTCATCTTAGGACCTCCTCCAAAGGTCCACCAATGCCCATGGACCCACCTGGCAGGAGTCGGCCCGGCTCCGGGATTCACCAGCGCAAACCATGTTGTTGGTGATGGAGTCAGGGTAGATGCGCCGGCATTGGTCCTGTGGGATGATGGTCACCTTGGTGCAATGGAGGTCCTCAGGGAAGGTGACTGTGGGTGATGGAGAATCCATGTTGGAGATATGGACCAGAGCATCCAACCCAGACCCAACTTGGACCTCATTGGAGCATGCATTGGTGGTACCCAACAGGAGCTCCAAAGCTTCTTGAGGTCCTCCCTGGCCACCCAAGTTGGGTGATGGAGAAGATGGGGTCACCCATGATGGAGATATGGAGCAGAGCATCCAACCCAGACCCAACTTGGACCTCATTGGAGCTCATCAACCCTCTTGGTGGCACCCAATCACTTCTTGGCCTGCTCACCATGGTCAAAGATGGCCAAACTTCACCCAGCCTTTCCCCATGTCCCCATGGGGATGTGACCCACATCAAGAGGTCCCCATTCCACCCCATATATGTGGGTCACCAGACTTCCTACCTTCTGGGCTGGTGGTGGACCCCCATCCTGAGATCTGACAGGTCTTGCCGGGCACTGGACAATGGGTGGCCAATGGCAAGGGCTTCACCTGCTTGTTGATGTGGATGGGGAGGTGGAACTTGATGAGCATCAGGTCCCCGTCCTTGTTGCTCTCGTTGTACCACGGGTACTTGAAGACCATGGCCGAGTGTCTCCTCTGCTCGGGGCCACTCGAGTCCTTGTGCCTCCGGCCACCCAACCGCACGTTGATGAAGCTGATGGAGCCCAAAGCATCGGGTTAGGGATAGGGTTAGGGTGATGGTTATGGTTAGGGTTACCAGGTGACCACAGAACCCCACCAGGAGCAGAGCCATGGACCCAGAGAAGAGGCCAAAGCAGAGCTGAGCTTCACCACAACCCAGAGACCAAAGGCAGCGGGTTCCTACCCCGGGACGTGGCAATGGGCGGCCGTCAGCACCCAGCTCCTGTCCACCAGTGTCCCACCGCAGATGAAGCGGTCTCCTTTGAAGAGGGCAGCTTGCCAGGGCAGGTCACAGGAGGTGCCCTCGATCACCCATAGGACGTTCCTTGAGGCTATGGGGACAATGGGAAGGGATGGGGGGGGAAAGGGGGACAGGGACCTCCTGTGACCACTGGGACCGCTCATGGTGGCCCCAGCCCCGTGTCTCCAAGTCCCTGGTAAGGAGGTGAATGAGGGGTGGAAGAGGCCACATCGATGTGGGGCACATTGGGAGGGCCATGGAGTCAATGGGGGTCAATGGGGGGGGAGGTCCATGGGGTCAATGGGGACAAGAGGGGGAGGTCCATAGGATGGGGGTCTATAGGGACGAGGGGAGATCCACAGGGTCAATAGGGGAAGATCCATAGGGAGGATGGGGGTCCATGGGGTCAATGGGGGTCCATGGGGACAATGGGGGGGGGTCCCTAGGGTGGATGGAAGTCCATGGGGTCAATGGGGGTCCATAAGGACCTATGGGCCCCAGGTCATCTCCTACCTGTGGCTTCCAGTGCCAGGAGAATCAGGAGCAGGATCTTCATGCCGGAGCACCGGGAGCTGAGGGGGAGACGGTGGGATTGGGATGGGGACACGGACCTCTGGGGACAGGGAGGGAGGGATGAGGAATTGGAGGAGGGAAGGGAAAAATGGGGTGGGAAAAGGAGGGAAAAAGAGAGAAAAGAAGGGGAAAAGAAGGAAAAAGAGAAGGGAAATAAAAGAAGGGAAAGAAGGAAAAAGAAGGAGAAAGTGAGGGGGAAAATGAAGGGAAAAAAGGAAAAAGAAAGGAAAAAAGAAGGAAAAAAAAGAAGAAAAAAAAAGGAAAGGGAGGATGGGAAAAGGAGGAAGGACTGGAAAGGGGGATGGGAAAAGGAAGGTTGGGAAAGAAAGGGGGTTGGGAAAAGGAGGAAGGAAAAAGGGATGGGAATAGGGCAAAGAGGGATGGGAAAAGGAGGGGTGGGAAAAGGGGGAAGGGAATTGAGATGGGAACAGGGAAAAGGGGGAAGGGAAAAGGGATTGGGAAAGGGGGATGGGAAAAGGGAGATGGGAAAAGGAGGGGTGGGAATGGAAGGGAAGAGGGAAAAGGGGGAAGGGAAAAGGGAACAGGAGGGGTGGGAAAAGGGCTGGGAATGGGGCTGGGAATGGGGCAGAGGGGGCTGGGAAAGGGGCTGGGAATGGGCCCCGTGTCCCTACCGGGGCGGGAGCGGCTCCTCCCGGGCGGATGCGGCCGCGTCTGCTCCTGGCACCGCTCGTCTGGGGCCTTTTATGTGGGGCTGGAGCAGGAAGCGGCTCCTCCGCCCGCACCCCATCCCGGAACCTTCCTCCAGCAGCCAGGAAGTGCCCGGGAGGGGTTCCAGGGCATGGGAATGGGGATCTCCAACGGGATCGGGTCCTAAATGTGGGTCCATGATGGTTCCAGGGCATGGGAATGGGGATCTCCAACGGGATCGGGTCCTAAATGTGGGTCCATGATGGTTCCAGGGCATGGGAATGGGGATCTCCAATGGGATTGGGTCCTAAATGTGGGTCCGTGACGGATTGCAGGGCATGGGAATGGGGATCTCCAATGGGATCAGGTCCTAAATGTGGGTCCATGATGGTTCCAGGGCATGGGAATGGGGATCTCCAACGGGATCGGGTCCTAAATGTGGGTCCGTGATGGTTCCAGGGCATGGGAATGGGAATCTCCAACGGGATTGGGTCCTAAATGTGGGTCCATGATGGTTCCAGGGCATGGGAATGGGAATCTCCAACGGGATTGGGTCCTAAATGTGGGTCCATGATGGTTCCAGGGCATGGGAATGGGGATCTCCAACAGGATCGGGTCCTAAATGTGGGTCCGTGATGGTTCCAGGGCATGGGAATGGGGATCTCCAACAGGATCGGGTCCTAAATGTGGGTCCATGATGGATTCCAGGGCATGGGAATGGGGATCTCCAACGGGATCGGGTCCTAAATGTGGGTCCATGATGGTTCCAGGGCATGGGAATGGGGATCTCCAACGGGATCGGGTCCTAAATGTGGGTCCGTGACGGATTGCAAGGCATGGGAATGGGGATCTCCAATGGGATCAGGTCCTAAATGTGGGTCCGTGACGGATTGCAGGCCATGGGAATGGGGATCTCCAATGGGATCAGGTTCTAAATGTGGGTCCGTGACGGATTGCAGGGCATGGGAATGGGGATCTCCAATGGGATCCGGTCCTAAATGTGGGTCCGTGATGGTTCCAGGGCATGGGAATGGGGGAACGTGGCTCAGCTCCAATGGGATCTGGTCCCAAATGTGGCTCCATGATGGATTCCAGGCCATGGGAATGTGTGAAAATGGTCAATGGGTGCGTCTCCAATGGGATCTGTTGCCAAATGTGGCTCCTTGATGGATCTAAGGATGTGGGGATGGAAGAAGATGGTCAGTTGGTGCATTTCCAATGAGATCTGGTCGTAAAGGTGGGTCCATGATGGTTCCAGGCCATGGAAATGGGAGAAGATAGCACCAGGGACACATTTCCAATGGGATCTGATGCCTGATGTGGCTCCATGATGGATTCCAGGCCATGGGAATGGGTGAAGATGGTCAATGGGTGCATCTCCAATGGGATCTCATCCCAAATGTGCGATCACTGGACACCAGCCCATGGTTGAGAAGGTCCCAAGTCACGTCTCGGATGGTCCTTGTAGAAGAGAATGGTGATGGTCAGCATGGTCCTTATGGATGAGGATGGAGATGGCCACCATCGTCCTTATGGATGAGGATGGAGATGACCACCATGGTCCTTATGGATGAGAATGGAGATGACCACCATGGTCCTTATGGATGAGGATGGAGACGACCACCATGGTCCTTATGGATGAGGATGGAGACGACCACCATGGTCCTTATGGATGAGGATGGAGATGGCCACCATGGTCCTTACGGATGAGGATGGAGATGACCACCATGGTCCTTATGGATGAGAATGGAGATGACCACCACGGTCCTTATGGATGAGGATAGAGATGACCACCATGGTCCTTATGGATGAGGATGGAGATGGCCACCATGGTCCTTATAGATGAGGATGGAGATGACCACCATGGTCCTTACGGATGAGGATGGAGATGACCACCATGGTCCTTATGGATGAGGATGGAGATGACCACCACGGTCCTTACGGATGAGGATGGAGATGACCACCATGGTCCTTACGGATGAGGGTGGAGATGACCACCATGGTCCTTATGGATGAAGATGGTGATGGCCACCATGGTCCTTATGGATGAGGATGGAGATGACCACCATGGTCCTTATGGATGAAGATGGTGATGGCCAACATTGGGTCCCCTTTGGTCCTTGTAGGAGAGGAGGAGAAGGAGCTACACCCACAATGCATCCTCGTGCCCATCACCGCGACCTCCCAGTCCCTCCCAGTCCCTCCCAGTCCAACCCTAGAAGCCCCTTGGAGGCCCCTCCCAGGACCTCCAGGGCAAGGAGCGGGTCCATCCGGTTCCCAGCCAATCCCAGTTGAGCCCCAACCGCCGCCACCGGCTTGAACTGGCCTGAACTGGCCTGAACTGGCTTGAACTGGGCTGAACTGGGCTGGGCTGAGGCTGACTCAGCTCCTTCTGCCTCACCCAGGACTCGCGGCAGCCAATCAGGTGGCGGCTCCTCTCGCATCAACCAATCAGGTGGCGGCTCCTCTCGCCTCGACCAATCAGGTGGCAGCTCCTCAAGAGCTCCCCCGGGGGGGGTTAATTGGGGGAGCTCATTAAGATCATTAAGCAACTGGGAGGGACACACGGGTCTAAACTGGGCCCAGTCCAGTTCTTCCCCCCCCCCCCATGGATTGAATGGTTGGAATGGGGGGGGAGGAATCAATGGGGAGAGTCCCAGCTGCTCCCAGTTACCCCCAGTTCCTTCCCAGTTACCCCCAGGGCCCCCCAATTGCTCCCAGTGGCTGAGAGGGGCTTTAGTGGGGTTCCAGTAAGCTCTAGGGGGGAGTAACTGGGATGAACTGGGGGTTCCCAGGGTCCTAGTGCCCCCCGTAATGGTCCCAAAGGAGCCCGCAGGGTCCTAGTGCCCTCCATAAGGTCCCAATGGTGCCCGCAGGGTCCTAGTGCCCTCCATAAGGTCCCAAAGGAGCCCGCAGGGTCCTAGTGCCCTCCATAAGGTCCCAATGGTGACCGCAGGGTCCTAGTGCCCTCCATAAGGTCCCAAAGGAGCCCGCAGGGTCCTAGTGCCCTCCATAAGGTCCCAATGGTGACCGCAGGGTCCTAGTGCCCTCCATAAGGTCCCAATGGTGCCCGCAGGGTCCTAGTGCCCTCCATAAGGTCCCAATGGTGACCGCAGGGTCCTAGTGCCCTCCATAAGGTCCCAATGGTGACCGCAGGGTCCTAGTGCCCTCCATAAGGTCCCAATGGTGCCCGCAGGGTCATAGTGCCCTCCAAGGTCCCAATGGTGACCACAGGGTCCTAGGTCCCAAAGGTGCCCTCCTAGTGCCCGCCATAAGGTCCCAATGGTGACCGCAGGGTCCTAGTGCCCTCCATAAGGTCCCAATGGTGACCGCAGAGTCCTAATGCCCCCCATAAGGTCCCAATGGAGCCCACAGGGTCCTATTGCCCCCCATAAGGTCCCAAAGGTGCCCGCAGGGTCCTAGTGCCCTCCATAAGGTCCCAATGGTGACCGCAGGGTCCTAGTGCCCGCCATAAGGTCCCAATGGTGACCGCAGAGTCCTAATGCCCCCCATAAGGTCCCAATGGAGCCCACAGGGTCCTATTGCCCCCCATAAGGTCCCAAAGGTGCCCGCAGGGTCCTAGTACCCCTGTAAAGGTCTCCACAGGGTCCTAATGCCCTCCATAATGGTCCTAAAGGTGTCCACAGGGCTCTAGTGCCCTCCCACAGGGCTAGTCCCCCCCCAGCCTCATTCCCCCCCCCATTCACTGTCCCCAGCAGCAAAAGTTGGGTTTTTCCAGTTTATTTTTATAACAAATCCCTATTTTCGAGCCCTCCCCCCACCCCCAACCCTAAAATAGCAAGAATTCGCGCCAAAAAGGGGGGGGGGGGCGGGCCAGCGCTGGTCCCGCCCCCCCTAAGGATGGGGGCGGGGATGGGGGAGGAGGAGGCGGTGTCACTTCTCCTTTGGAGGAGGCCTGGGCAGAGGAGGGGGGGGAAACAACTCAGTCACGTGAGCCCGGTTCCCCCTCCCAGTCTATCCCAGTGCCCTCTAATTCCACTCCAGTCCCTTCCAGACCATCCCAGTCCCACCCAGTGCCCTCCAATCCCCTCCCGTCCATCCCAGTGCCCTCCAGTCCCTCCTAGTTCCCTTGCAGACCTTCCCAGTCCCTCCCAATGCCCTCTAATTCCCCTCTAGTCCCTCCCAGTCTATCCCCAGTCCCCTTCCAGAGCATCCCAGTCTATCCCAATGCCCTCTAATACAATCTCAGTGCATCCCAGTGCCCTCTAATACCCCCCAGTCCATCCCAATGCCCTCCCATCCCTCCCAGCCTATCCCAGTCCCCTTCCAGAGCATCCCAGTCCCTCCCAATGCCCTCTAATACCCTCCCAGTCCATCCCAATGCCCTCCAATCCCCTCCCAGCCTATCCCAGTCCCCATCCAGACCATCCCAGTCCCTCCCAGTGCCTTCTAATACCCCCCAGTCCATCCCAATGCCCTCCAATCCCCTCCCAGCCTATCCCAGTCCCCATCCAGACCATCCCAGTCCCTCCCAATGCCCTCTAATACCCTCCCAGTCCATCCCAATGCCCTCCAATCCCCTCCCAGCCTATCCCAGTCCCCATCCAGACCATCCCAGTCCCTCCCAGTGCCCTCTAATACCCCCCAGTCCATCCCAATGCCCTCCAATCCCCCCCCAGTCTATCCCAGCGGCTCCCACCCCCTCCCGTCCAGCAGGGGGCACCTGTAGACGCCCACGACCACGGCGTGGTCCCTCTCGTAGGGCTCCAGCGTCAGCTGCTCCTGCGGCTTCATCCTCTCGGCCGCCATGCGCCGGACCTCCCCCGCGAACACGGCCTCGGGCGCCGCCGTCGAGTCGATGCAGTTCGCCTGCAGGGGGCGCCAGCGCACGGCTCAGAATAGGGGCGCCCCCTGCTGCTGGGGAGGGTGAGGTGCACCGGGGAGGGCGCCCCCTGCTGGCGAGACTGACCCCATACTGGGGACCAGTGACCCTATACTGGGGAGCAGTGACCCTATACTGGGGATCAGTGACCCCACACTGGGGACCAGTGACTTCATACTGGGACTAAATGGGGAGCAGTGACCCCATACTGGTGACCAGTGACCCTATACTGGGGAGCAGTGACCCTATACTGGGGATCAGTGACTTCATACTGGGACTAAATGGAGAGCAGTGACCCCATACTGGGGACCAGTGACTTCATACTGGGACTAAATGGGGACCAGTGACTTCATACTGGGACTAAATGGG